CTTAAAAGTACTCACACACAAACTCACACGAACTCGTCCTGAGTTATTGAACACATACTCGTCGCTATAGACAACGGACTTTCGTTCGTCTAATTTTGATTTTCAAGGGAAAGAATCATAACATTCGTAACACAAATATTACAATTACAATGATTTGCTCGTGTGATTATATAGAGTTACCGTTACTGTAACGGAGCAACCTTCAACTGTCGCACTGAACGTTGCGGTCTTTTGATTTCATCACCTCTCGCAAGATTCTGTTCAATAGTGCACTTCTGATTTGAAGACACAATAGAACTCGATCCTCTCTCTCTCTCTCCTTATCTCCCTTTCTCTCTCTCTCTCTCTCTCTCTCTCTCTCTCTCTCTCTCTCTCTCTCTCTCTCTCTCTCTATCTATCTATCTATCTATCTATTCTCTCCTCTCTCTCTTCCCACATCAGAACATTACCAGACAGTAGGGGTCCGAGGCCAATTCTCTCACATGGTATACGTCAAAAAGTCAATGTAACCAACTCTCTGGTACCACCATGTCTTAATTACAAGGTACAACCGATTTGATTTCTCATGAGCATTATTGGTACTGAGTTTACATTACACGTTACGTCGTTTTGGAAGACATAGCGGTAAAAGGTAAAGAAAACCAAAGTATCATAAAATAAGGCTATCTGGAAAAAGTATAAATTAAATATTATATTTCAGCAGTTCAGCAGCAACAAGAGTAAAGCGGAATCCGGAACAATTGGGAATGTATGACAAGAGGAATGTTTGGATTAGATCTATGCTGTCATCTGTGGTCAACGGTGGTCACTCAGTATTCACTATTACGTCATATGTGGCGGGTGTGGTGGTCCGTCCTGATCTGGACACTCGCAGCTCAGAAAGAAGAGACTGACTGACACCATGAGCCACTGAGGACACATACCCAAACCACCAACCACCCACCACCCACCTCCCGTCCCTGGACACATCCAAATTCTGCATGCATGGGATAGTTTGTACACAGGATAACAGAAGGAGAAATAAGAAAATGTTTTTATAGTCAGTTTGTAGGCTATTCCTATGGCTGATCAGCAGGTTTCTATGTAAATCGAGGACAACATTAAGGCACAATGATGGGATCTTGGATTACATTCATTCCCCATCTCCATATTTTCTTTCTCCCCCCCCCCCTCCCTCACCCCTACATTTCCTCGTTCTCCCTCGCCCTCCCTCTCCCCATCCCCTTTTCCCCGTTCCCTTCATCTTTGAGCTGTCGCAACGACTTCAGGATGTCATGACGAACTGTGACGTGAGAGTCAATGGTAAAAGGGAATTGATAAATGGAAATGAATGCCATTTCACAACACAGATATAAATATTCCTAAAGTTATTGAAGTCAGTCTTGTCTTTTCCTCCGCGAATACAGCTGACGGGAGACCTCGGCTTTCTTTTCAATCACTGCGAGAACATTGTCTTAAAACACAAGGTCTCAACGCGTCCTCGTCAGCGTGAACATGACTTAAAGCATAGTGTATCCAGCAGTGAGTTTGTCTCTGTCCAAAGCTCACAGGCAAAATATTTTAAAGAAATATTGAAGTCTTAAAATGTTTTAAGTATCTCTATTTAATACTGAACCTATCTATCTGTTCTTTCTATGGACTTTTCTATGTTTGGCGAGGTGGTCGGAACGGCTGAAACATTTGGTACACACGTCACATTTGTAGGGCTTCACTCCCGAGTGAGAACGTTTGTGTCTGGCCAGCTCATCCGAGCGGGAAAACTTCCAGCCACAGTCAGGCCAAGAGCAGTGGAAAGGCTTTTCTCCTGTGTGACGTCGAAGGTGGGCCTTGAGGTGGGAGCTTTTGCTGTAGATCTTGTTACAGTTCTGATAAGTGCACGGGTAGATTTTGTCCTCAAGTTTGTTCACATGACCACTTGGCGATGATGATAATAACGACGATGACGACGGGGAAAATGATGAGGTGGAAAAGCCACTGGAGCTGTCTAGAGAACAAAGAGAACTAGGGCTACCTGAGGGCGACTTGGGCTCTGCCGTATAGTTTCCTAACATGGGGTCCACTCCTGACGTCATCAGGTGCCCCGCTCCGTTGGGCAGCCTGAGTCTCGGATTGGTTGTTCTGGCTCTATTCTCCAGGAGACTAGTGGACTTGTGAAGGAGTGACGTGCTGGTGGTGATGACATAGGTATCGGTGGACGGTAAGAGATTGGCAGGGCTGGCTGGGGACGAGACTGGCGGGGCGTACACACAGGCTTGTGTGTTGCCGTTGATAGTGAGGAAGTGGGAGGGTACGAGGTGGCCCACAGGCTTGGTACTACCTTTATGCCGCGCAGGGGCGGGGGGAGTGGGGGGAGTGGGGGCGAGGGCGTGTGCAGGCGGAGTTTTGATGGCGTAGTCGTGCATGAGGTTAGAGATGTCCACACCTAAGACAACCATATCCTTGTTGTCCTCACCAGACATCTCCCAACCGCCTTCGGAACACGAGCTGCTGCTTTCACTGCTGGACAACATTTCGTCTCTTGATCCGAAGTGACCGCCATGAATTTCGCCCGCGCCGCACTGCTCTCGTTCAGGACAGGGAAAGTCGATGGGTGCAGTACTGGTCAGACCTCCAACGTTGCTGCTGAAGTTTCTAGAGAACTTGTTCTCTTTCTTGATGTGCACACCAAAGGCTTCTTCCACGTGAGGCAGAGGGCCAGACTTCTCGTTTGACCTACTTAGCTCAGTCGGGTCACTCAGCAAAAAGTCCAGATCCCTGGATTTCCGGTCATCTTCGTGCGTGTTACCCAGCGAGTTAAGTGACGTCACAGCTGACCGGAAGTCGGCGAATCCGGGATCAGAAGTTCCGAACCCAGTTCCGCGGGAGAAGAGGTAGTCCTGCATGAGGGCGTCCTCGCTGAAGTTGAAGAGGCCAATGGAGGGATCAAAGTCAAGGTCATCACAGATGTCCGGGGTGTCGTTGAGCTCGTTCAGAGTTTTTTGGTCCGAGAATGGGCCCAGGATATCTTCAGTGAGCATGAGGTTTAGCTCGTTCATGCTCACGGACTCCAAAAGCTCCTTCATGTTGAAAGTTGCGCAAGAGCGGGGATCGCCAGGCAGTGGAGTGTTGGTCTTTATCAATGTTTCCAGAATTGAATTTCAGATCACGTTAAGCGTATCGAATTTTCTACATGGGGAATTACAAAAGAGTGAATACCATGACTGAAGATCTCCATAGTTATGATAAAACGTTCATAAAAGTGTTTCTTTAACAACAAAACACACGTGCATGTCTTTGCTCGAGTTATTCAACTGGTCTTGACCGTAATGAGTGACAGATGCAATTCCATACAGTTACTAAAGCTGGACCGAACAAACAGCTCTCTGGAGATTTTCAATTCCTTCTTATGGCCATTTATGATTTTTGGCGAGTAGATGAATATCAGTTTGTAGCTTGCAGTACTTTGTCGGCGTGCTTTTGCGTTGGTAGCACTTGAGACAATCCAGCGTGTGCCCCACTTTCGGTGACCACAACCACGGTCAGTCAGAAGTGGACAAAAGGAGAGGATCAACGTCAAAGTGGCGGTTACCAAAAGTGCTGAGCTTGTCGACTCCAGGCGTTGCCACAAGCTGAAATAGTCGCTTTTCCACTCATTCACATGTACGCAAACACATAAACACCCACACAAATACACACGCAGAGGGCACGCGAGAAGAAGAAAGCACGTGATGTCCTGGAGTCTCCGATCTCCAGACTCTCAAAACTTGAAACTCTCCGACATTTGGCGTCGGAAAAATCCTAGAGGAAAATTCGGAGCCAAGGGGAGGAGGGGGGGGGGGGGTTACAGGGAGGTCTCGGCAACAGGAAGTGGGTCGGCCTGTATGAGTGGGGTTGGGGGGGGGGTGTTCAGGAAGTAGGTCTTTTCGGTTAGAGGGAGAAAAAAAAGGGGGGGGGGTGAAGTATCTCAGAAGAGAAGAGCGTGGGGTCTGAAGGGGGTGAGGGTTCTTTGTATTGTTCACATGTAAGTGTGCTTAAGTCAGCTCACGAGATGAAAGGACCAAAAAGTGTGTGTGTATATGTGTGTGAGCGCGTGTGTGTGTGTCTTAGAATGGATGCTTGAAAGGGGGGGGGGGTATGCAGTGGGAAAATGTTGATTATAGAGGTGGTGGGGGTATTTATAGCTGCAGTGAGAGCAGTTCTTAGGACGTCTGAGATCTCGCACACAAACTCGGGCTTTATTCTGTGTAAGCCTAAACCTATGCGCTGTGTACTCTGTGAGGCTCTCTGTCTCTCTGTCTCTCTCTGTCTCTCTCTCTCTCTCTTTCTTTCTCTCTCTCCCTCCCCTCCGTCTCAGTGTTGTCGCCGACACAAGTGTTCTCTTCAAACGACGCAGTGCGTTGTGTCACACAAGAAGGCAGGGAAGATGACGGCGACGATAACAGAGACGACGGTTGTATCGTGTGACATTAGGCAGAGAATTAGAGGCTGAGATATGCTCTATGGTCTGACCCCGGGGTCACAGTTCGAGTCCTAAGGTCAGATCAAAGTCCCTGAGCGTTATCGGTAGATGCTGGTACTGTAGAGATATCAGAACCGCGGTGTACGATGTGTCGTGGAGGTGCGAACCTCCGGACATGAGGTTACAGGTCCTGTAGTTACTGGAGTGGACAAACAGCCTGAGGACTGGTCAGCACCAACAGTCTGTCCTCGTGGGGGAGATGTCTATCTTGATCTGAGCCCAGCCGGTGCACTAAGATCAACCAAACGTCTCCTGAAAAGAGAAAGAAAGAGATGGAATTATTACGGTATTTAGTAGTTTGTTTTTGTGTTGGAGCAACGCCTTAGAAGATATAGATCTATGTTGCGGGTGGTTGGAGGGCCCCACTGTAGGTCCAGCCTTTTTACTTTCCCTCTGTTATTACAGTCTGTCTGTCTTACTTTTCCCCAATCACTAAATGGCCATTGAGTTGGTGTGTATCTCTTACTCAAACAAACAAACAAACATAGATTTATGTGAAATATATTAAGTGCTTACATAAAAGAAGAGGATAAAGAATCAGATAAAAGTCAGACATCGCTCTTAAACACAAATAGCACAATGTGCAGCAAAGCATGTATGTTCATAGCTTACATTAATCTACCATCAACTGTTCGAGTGTTTTGGACACGTTTGTAAGTCGGCGATGGAGGGCTGAGCTATCTAGCTATTCGTCAAAGAATGAGATGTAAAGTGGTGAACTGACATGAAAGACGTTAACGGAGTGGTAGATTAAAAAATTTGAAAAGTGGGTAATTCAAATTGATAATAAAAAAGAAATTATACCACGTCACCGAAACAGCAATCGATAAATCGAATCGTGGATATTGTTACAAGTTTTGAAACAACGGTGCATATGACATTATCACTCGCATGATGAAACAAAAATAACAAAACAGAGTACCCCATCCCCCTTTTTCCCTTTAAAATAAATAAAACAATGGAGAAAATTAAAAAGAAAAAGAAAACTAGACATGAACAGCAAAACAAAACAAAATGAAAAAAACAGAACGCAAAGGCCCACAAAAATCGAAATCGCGCTATCGGCTCCGTCAGCAAATTCCCGGACTGGTTTTTAGCTCTCAGTCGACGATGTGGAGGGTAAAGGATGAGATTAACGTATCTTTAGAAACGACATCTTTTTAGCTGAGAGATCGTGACAGTCCGCCGACGGGCGTCGCGTAGAGCTGAAAGCCCTTATTTACGTTTGTAGCTATGTGGACAAGAGTATTGTGAGAGATGCAATTGAGGGGTAAATAATTTTTATTCCTACTGCAAAGCTGCTTTTTTGTAGATACCCTTGTTGGGGCTCAACTTTTGACGCTCGTGTCATGAGTTAGTAGAGGAAATTATTCAGAGAATAAATCACACTTTACAGTGACAATCAAAACATGCGATGTGAGAACGTGACGACTAAATCCATTATACTTTTACAAGAGTTGCTATCTTGTTTTTGCCTCAATACAGACTTAACACTCTTCCAAAAGCGAGCAACTGGTTGGAGGGTGCTACTGGTAGGTCATACTTCTTTTCTTTCCTTCTGTTGATTCTGCGTGTCTGACTTTTTCCCAGCACCAAAAAGGCCATTATTGTGTCTTTGCGCTTCTCTTTACTCAGACAAACAAATAAACCAAAAGCAAGCCTGCAATACAAGTAGTGTTATGTCCCAACACTAAGAGACGTAACTGCACCGCTCGTGGGATACGACTCGTGAATCACACACTCTCAGGAAATAGAGAAAGTCTCTATTCGATTAAAAAGGCGCCGAAACCACGCTCTTACAGTTAGTTGTGGTAGGGGAACTCAACCGCAAAACCGCAAACAGGTTCCACTTATCCCCATGACTTGAGATTCCGAAAAATTAACTCCCTGTCAAATCGTTCCGTCTCGACCCGTTGAGAGCGTCTCGCATCGCCCCGGGCGAAGGACTATTTTTCTAGGTCATGTAGGCCCCACATCTTGCTTAAATTCGAGATTTATATCTTCAAATTAACTTGTATTTAGAGCAACAACCAAAAAACCCCCCCAAAAAACAGGGTTCGACACGTAAAATGTTGTTCTACAAGCCCATTCATTGATTAATGTAGCCAGTCATGTGAGCAAGTCGTTGTACTACTGGAGGTGTGGGTACCTTGAACGAGATCTTATCAATCAATTAAAACTCACGTACGGGCACCATTTCCCAGTAAAAAAACGGAAAAGGTAATAGTCAAACCTCACACAATCAAGCGGTTTTCTCTTAAAAGCAGAATAAAAACGAGCATATCGAAACTGGCATTTAAGAGTTTCTCACCCCATTTTGTCAGCAATTTAAAAGCGTGTTAAGTTTCTGAAAGTTTGAGTTTCACCCCTCGTGCCCTTCCTAACTTCGCTTATTTCTGCTATACCACTAAGGTCACCTCTAAGGTCACATTTCTTTACACATTCTCCACTTTGGCTTTTTTCGCCGCGGCTTTAATTTTTTCAGGTGCCATACGTTGGCCATTTTAGTTACAAAAATGGGCACAACAATGTCAGTACCAGAAAACAAATTGATATCATTGAACATAATTATTCTCTCGGAGTCTGAAAGACAGAATAAGTGTGAAAGAATGTTTTCGCTATAAAAAGATGAAGAGGACGATGCAAGTGGAAATGCAAGAGATGTCGTTAAAAATTATACCTTCTTAATGCTGCTGCTGTTGCGCCTGCTGCTGCCACCAGTGCACCCAATCTATGTCTCTTCCATCTTATAATAGCTGTGCTTTATTTCTGATAGTTGTTTAGATCCAGCATAATGAACCACTTTTTCAGATACAGATACGAAGACGTATCATTCGCGAGCAAAGAATGGATCTAGTTCGTTTTCGACTGTTCGGTTCAGTTGCTCTCAACTGCACTTTGAAAACTCGGTCACAAACAGAGACAGTCTTTCATACTGAAAATGAAGGCAAGAACGCATGCACTCTCTCTCTCTCTCTCTCTCTCTCTCTCTCTCTCTCTCT